CGCACAATTTCCGGAGAAATGCATTGGAAGACTTGCATAAAGCTTTTAAGGAATCCAAATGGCTAGAAACCCATGAGACCATTGATAAGCAAGCTGCAGAACTAAATGAAACTAACATGTTTTTCTGGTATGTTGACCAAATTATTGTAAAATTGCTGCTTTATCAAGTCCAGCTCAACCATCGATGCTGAAACTCAGACAGGACAACATGAAAAGGCATAACAATGAATTAAAGTAACTTCCAGAGTTATCCCTTTCGCTAATAATATGAAATCAACTAATTAAGTGCTTTTCATCCCACAACCATATGAAGGGCCCAATTAGGCTAACACTACTGCTTGCAATCTCTCCCACTGCATTGGGGTTGCTTTATGCTCCCTTAGAAACAGAGTTCTAAGAACATAATCCTTTGCTTAACACTGCTACTTGATGTACCTAGAAAATCCAACTCCCTTAAATATGAATTCAAGCACATTTGGCCACCTCAGAGATAATGAAATTTTGGAATTTAACAACTTAAGCCAGAAAATAGATAAACGGGAAAATCAAGAGATCTACACCCTAGATATAATGGAACCAAGATCCGAATCCTAGATAATGAATGGAGATGGATATATATCTGTCATGCCAAAGCAAGCACCATTATCTCATCTAGCAAAAATTTGTGTGGAGGCACCAAAATATTGAAGTTTGAAAATAATAACTCGGAATCACAAAAGCATGAGTATGAGAGAACATAACGTCCATATCACTTATCACCACAAATCTTTGTAGAAACGTCCAGAAAGTGAAAAGGAAAAGAAGGGTTACACAATAGCAGCAGACCTTTATCCACATATCCCCAGTTCCACCCAGTGTTGTTAAGAAGGGAATCAATCCCTCTCCAAAAATAGCAGTAATTCTTCAGAAGATGGAGGAGTTGGTTGCTCCGATGAGAGAAATCAACACAAACCTGCAATATTGGAGTCCAATTGACAGAAAAAAGAAATCAACTATAGGAGGCAAATTGACTGAAACAAGGAATCCCTCAAGGGACATGAGAAATGAGGTAGGAGAATGGGAGGGGTTGTGTCCCTTTGAGAAGCAAAAAATGAAACCATGTCGCCGCTACGCAGGCCAAATTTGACAGAGGGACAGAGCAGTCAGTGATTGCTGCGATTTCGGTGTCCAACAGAGGGGTGCAACAGCGAGAATGATTCTATCTTTGACGAAGGTGATATGGTGAGGAAGTGGTGAGCGCAGGGAGCGTTTGAGGCGATGGGACTGACGGCGACGTCGGAGGCGACTGGAGGAGAGTCTGCAAGGGAGGGGATTGCGACGTAATGCTTAGATCTGAAGAGGTAGAAGAGAAGCCGTCGCATCTGTGTGTCGAGGAGGAGGAGGACGGAACGGCTGGAAAGCTGGGGATGGAATAGATCTAGGGTAGAGCTCCAAAATTGATTTGTCTTTGGGGGAGGGAAAAATTTGGTAAAGCTGAATTTCAACAAGAACTTGAAAACCCCAAATAATGGAGGGCGGTAAGTTGAAAATTTTCAGGAGCCAAAACATAGAGGGAGATAGCGCCAAACTTTGTTTTGGCTCCCGCCCACTTGTTTTTCTCCTGTCCATCAATTGTCACAGGAAGCTATTCTTTAACAAACAACAGTTACGGGAAGATTATCCCATGATAAAAAATATAAGTTGATTACGGGAGCATACCCGTAATCAAAAGTACCCGTGATTAAAGATCTATTTTCTTGTAGTGAGTGTCTTCTGCTACAATTGGGTTCTTTTTCTTTCTTCAGTAGAACAATCATAGTGTTAGTGAACTGGGTGATCTGTTCTTGGGAAGCTGTCTGTGTGTTTGTTATCAAAGAGCCAATTCGTTGGCTTGGCTCTGGTTCTTGTTTCCCTGTACTTTCTTATGATAAATAAAAGTGTTTCTTTTTCCAAGTTCTCTCATTCCAAAACATCTGCTAGGCTGAGACTTTATGCCCTGCTATATACAAGTATTCTTCCCATTCTAAATTCACACGAGCTTGAAGTAAAACATGTGTTGGGACCCTCCAACAGACACGAAATATGAGACTGCACTTGTGTAAATGATAGATATCAACAAAAATGTATGCCAATATGCAATTATGAATTATGTGAGTATTTAGACAAATATCAACACCAATGTGCAATTATGCGAGTGTTTAGACAGATACCAATACAACAAACATTTTTCGATTTGGAACTCGACTTTTGTATATAAAGTCTTAGTTGTTGGTTTCTGCGACTTGGTCACCTTTGGGTCGACTTACGCCAATGAAAAAGAAGGGTTGCTGTGCTATATGTACGGCTTTAGATGCTTTGGGAAAGCGATGGCCTTTAGCATCTTCCTTTCTGCTATAGCTATTCCGACACTCCCTACGTCGTTGCTTTTCTTTTGTGGTCATGCATGAACTTAAACTTCCATACCTTTCGAGTTTCAAACTCTGTGGACACATGATGCTTCTTAGGTAAGAATAGAAGACAATCCACTCTTTTCTTTTTCTTTTATTCTTTCTAATAATTGGGTTTTCTTTTAGTGTCTTAGAGGAGAGAGGTCACCTAGCTCGGTGCATGAACTTCAAGCGAGCCGATCTTTGTGCCGTCTTGTAACATGCGTGAAATATGTTTAGCTAACTCAAGCATATGCAAAGAATTAGGAAACCATATAAGATTGATTTTTGAGTCCTTTCAAACAATTTGAGTTGTTGGGATGATCGGAGCTCGACATTGTATATATTAGAATTTGTAACAAGAAAATTTGATATTGGACTCATCACAAGCTTTAGTATTTATAATACTAGGTTAAGCACCAACAACAACATTGAATATACACAAGAATTACATTTCGTTTAACTGGGATGAAACATTTGAAGAATAGGTTGGAGGGAAAGCATATGTAGGCTTCATGGAAGGAAATATAGTATTTGCATGAGTTATTTTTATCCAATTAAATCGTTTTGTTTTTGAAATACTTTGCTGAGATGGATTGTTATGGCCCGTGAGTTATTCATAAATAACTCATAACGAATTATTTGAAATGACTCCTACACCGTGTTATTTGGAAATAACTTATTTTACATCTCTATTATTGTCAAATATTACGTGTTAAATACCATACGTGTATAATATACAACCAAAAAAGATATTTTAAATGCAACATGTCAAATTACTATTGAATTATTACATAAAATTAATCAATTAATTAACTATATAAATACTACATTAACTCCAAACCACATTTGTGTAAGGTTTCTCATGAGTTAAGCTATGGTTCACTTTGTGATAAAAGTTAACACATTTGCAACCTCGCTCCTCTGTACCTAATATTGATATATTATAATAACCGAGTCTTTTACCTACCCCAAGATCAAAGCTAGCCGTGCTTTTTATTGATTTGATTACCTCTTGCCCTCTATCAAGGCTTTTCAAATGGAACTGATTTGTGTTGGAACCCCTTTAACCTTTATCCTTTTCAACGAACAACTGGTTTGGTTGGGTGCAATTAATTAGGAAGGTAGAATTCGTATTTGTATGCCATTGAGGTGAAAAGAGGGAACACAATCACACATACAGCTGTGGAGCTTTGTTACTAGGATTTGCTTCTTTTGTGGGATTGCCTCTTGATACACGATTTGAAGAATGTGAGATTACTTAATCCCAGATTTTGGGACACGTGAAGCTTTTGATATTCAATCATGGGAACCAAATAATGGTTGTAAATGAGAGAAGAAAAGGGAGGTGGAGAAAGGAAAGCCTACACAACACAAAACTGGCCGGCTGATCAAAAAGCAAGTAATGGAGAGGAATAGGGTTTACGTGAGACTTCCTTTTACTTAACTTACCATGCAGGGTAAAGGTCAAGTGTGGAAAATTCAACACCACCATGATTTGCATGTGTTCCTTTTTGCGGCCATGCTCACCTTTTCTTGTCCCTCTCAAGATTTCACCTAATAATAATGGAATGAAAATAAAAATATGGGGTAGTAAGAACTCTGCAGATGCAGTTGTAAGAAAATTTGCATTTACATAGAGAAAGAACGAGTTCTTGTGTTTTCTTAATTGCTGCTTCTATTCATGTTACAAACATCATATATAGGAATGAAATTCTAGATAATCACTGGGCTCATTAGCCATATACGTTAAGAAGCATCACGATCAAATACCCATGTACTAATTCGTTCAAAATCTCAAGTAGTTGAAATGAGAGACCATGCAAACATGAATATTATATAATTCTTATACAACATATGTTAAGATCGAAATCAATCATAGAGCTAACACGAAAAGAGCATTCAATTAATTATGTCTATAAAGTGCAAGATTTCAAAAAAATTAACGTACTAATTGGTAGATCGTTTTGGAAGTAGAGAACTGGTGTGGAAACCCTAGGGAATGTTGTTTTGGGAGATGGTGGTGAACTTCAAAACCATCAAACACCTAAAAAGAACAGGAATCTTGGAAAGGCAATAAAATGTGGAGGAGAAGCCGAGAAGGTAGGAATGGGCCTGGAAAAAAAAATACAAAAGCAGCCTATAAATAAAAAGTTAAAACCACATATCTCTCCCACTCTAAACCTGCCATTTGGACTTTTCATTCAAAAGCACTAGCTTTTCCTTAGATGCACCCAACAAAGTAACGCAGAAAAAGCCAACAACACATCAAGATAAAGTCACCATCTTTAGAATCCCACCCAAAGAAAATAACTAGAAATATCACAATGCCATCCACTACACAATCCACTCCCCCCAATCCTATTCTCTATAAATACCCATTCCCATGAATTCCACTCTTTCAGTCGTCCAATGTGTGATTCTAAATCCCAAAATTACCAAGTTGGCTGAAGTGTTTTTCTCTTCCCTTCAAGGAATTGATCAAAACCCATCAAGCCAATGGATACAATGGTGACATTCAACAAGGCCAAAAGGGTTCAATCCATGAGGAAGAGGAAGGCAGCTGATCACAGTGCATTTCTTCAAAATCTTGTTATGAATTCATTGATGATAGTGGGTTGTACCCTTCTAGTGTATTCACCCACAAAGCAATTCTTTTTCCTCCACCTCCCCTACATCTTGTCCTGCCTTTCTAGTCCCAAGTGTGTTTTTCTCTTGGTCAATGTCATTGTGGTGTTCTTGGTGGGAGAATCAAGGCTCAGTGGCTACAACAATTCGCGGAGATCTTCTTCAACGAGTGATTTCTACGACGAGTACATCCGCAGAGCTAGAGCTCAAAGGAAATCAATCACATCATCCTCGACCCCGAGTCAAGAAAACCTAGTTGGAGTAGCACGCGAGGCGGAGAGACAGATTGTTGTCGTTGACAAAGCTACGTCGTTGGACGGTGAAACGGGGATCATTATTGTAGATGATGAAACTCCGTTAGTTGAGGACGAAGTTGTGGAGAGCCAAACTGGAAGTGAAATTATCACTTCAGGTGAGATAGCATCGATCGAGAGCGAGACAAGCGAACAAGAAGAACAACAAGTACTGGTGAATGAAGATGCCAAGAATGGAGATGAAGTGGAGGAGCAAGTCGAAGAGAAAATAGAGGCAGCAGTTGAAGAAGTTGAAGCAAAGGGAGGAGGGGATGAGCTGAATAGAAGGATAGAGGACTTCATTGCAAGAGTTAACAGGCGAAGGCAACTTGAGATCCAATCACTTGTTTCTTGTAAAGCTTGAAATAAGTTTGTTGCCAAAGGTATGCCTTTGTAAAGTAGTGGGGAGAGAGCATTACAGGGCTGATTGCTGCAAGTCCCTTGTGGAGACTATTGCTTCTTCTTTTTTTCTTCCTAAGAAAGCAGCCTGGATGCATGTGGTTGTTCTAAACACCAAACTCTCTTAGATTTTTACCAAATATTACTATTTAGTTTATGGAAAATGTCAAAATAAATTTGGATAAAAAAAATTCAATTTGCTTGATATACATATTATTGAATTTATGATTATTAAGTATTAATGTTACCCAAGATTTCACTTGCATATACAACTGGAGATAGCTAGATCCATGATCATCATTCTACCCACGAGATTTCCATCACAGTCAACATTTTCTTACCTGCAATTGTTCCACAACCCGAAATGAGTATAGAGTATAGACTTTAGAGCTCAAGACCACACACACCAATCCATACTACCTCACGGATCATAGTGATTAAGCTAGTTTTGTTGGGATTTTTTCAAGTTACTGAGATGAATTTGATAAACTGTTCACAGAAATTCTAAAGGATTGACATAGGGGAATATACGAGAATCACAACATTAGCACTAAAATCGGGGGCGACGGTTCAAATTGAACAGAAACTCAACCAGTTTTAGAGACTTATCGGTTCTGTTTAATGGGTAAAATCTTATAAGTTTTTAGCGGTTTCGATTAAAATAAAAAAAAACTGATAAAATCCAATGAGGCTTAGCAAAATCAAAGGCTCGGTTTCTATTTTTTGGTATATTGACCGAAATCAAAACCAGTAACCACTTATCGATTTTTGGTTATTTTGACCGAACACCAAATCGGTAAGCACTTATCAATTTTCCGCGACAAGCTCTTAACGATTTCGGTTTTGAACAATTGGCTAATTCAGTTTTCGATTGCTAATAGCTTTCAATTTGGTTAACTCAACTGAATTGCCATCCCTAACTATAATCCGAGTTTCAAATTTGGTCCGACACATATTGTGGAGAGGAAAAATAAACCAACAACCATTATAGCTTGATTGAATTTGAATCACTTTTGATAATTAAGATTTGAGTAGAATTAATGAGTCGTATCACAAAAGAGGGAGTGATGGTGATGGTGTGTGGGCTTTTTTATTGTGGTTAAGTTTGAAGTGGAATTCGTGAAGGTGGACTGGAAATTTGGAATTGGTGTTGTTGGAACTTGGAAGTGGCAAGTGCGGTTTGTGGGTCGAGGCCCCAGCTTGCGACGTTGACTGCTTGCTTTCCTTAGCTCTGTTTCATATTCCTTCCTTAGCGCCTAAGATTGACTTTAGTACAAGTGTACAACACTATTCAATGGATTAAAAAGTTACAGACAAATGCCACGTAGTAGGTGTGTAAATTCAAGGGTTAATATTTTAGTTTGGCTCGAACTATACACAAACTTTCTACTTTGGTCCGTGGTTTCGAAAATTGTTTTTCTAGCCTGAACTATGTATCATACTTCCTTATTTGGCCTGTAGGCGGGTTTGACCGTTAGTCAATGGCCAGCTCACTTGGCCACATCAGCGAGGAGGAAATAAAAATATTGATTTTTTTGAATTTCTACATTTTTATAAGAAACGAAATAAAAAATTCTGTTTGTTATTATTATTATAAGAGGAAAAAATACAGAAATTCAAAAAATAATTTTTTTTATTATCTGCTCGCTGACGTGGCCAAGTGAGTTGACCATTGACTAATGGTCAACTCTATTGACCTTCCAATTTAACGGTCATACCTGCCTTCTGGCCAAATCAGGAAGTATGGTACATAGTTCAGGCCAGAAGAGCAATTTTCAAAACCACGGGCCCAAGTAGAAAGTTTGTGTATAATTCGGGCCAAATTAAGGTATTAACCCTTTTTTATTTTCGGCCCAAAATTTTGATCGCCAGAATTCGGCCACCGGTCGCCCAAAATTTCCAAAACCACGGGCCAAAGTAGAAAGTTTGTGTATAATTTGGGCCAAATTAAGTTATTAAACCTTTTTTATTTTCGGCCCAAAATTTTGGTCGTCGATATTCGGCCACCGGTCGCCGGAAACTGGTCGCTGGTCACCGGAATATGCTATCTGTCGCCGGAATATGCTTACCGGCGTCGGAATATGCATACCGGCGTCGGAATCTAGTCATCGGGGTCGGAATATGCCTATCGCGGAATCTGCTCACTGACGGTTGTCGGAGTTTGGTCAACGGTCAACGACCACCGGATATTGTGGTGTGCATTGTGAGATTTATGGTTTGGGTTCTCATATTTTTGTATGCCTTTTGTGGTTTGCTTTATCTCGTGTTTGTGGTTTGAATTATGAAGTTTCTGGTTTGCTTTCAAAAATTTGTGGTTTGCTTTGCCGGGTTTCTGGTTTGTTTTAATAGATTTTTGGTCTGCATTAGGACGTTTCTGTTTTGTTTTTGTGGTTTGCTTTACCGTGTTTGTGGTTTGTATTAGGATGTTTCTGGGGTACTTTAGAAATATTTGTTGTTTGCTTTATGTAATTTCTTGTATGTTTTAGGAGATTTGTTGTTTCCATTAGAAGATTAGAAGATTTCTGGTGTGTTTTTTGTGATTTGTTTTATCGCGTTTGTTGCTAGCATTAGGAGGTTTCTGGTGCGTGAATTGCATAATAGTTGGAAATATACTGCTGTGTAATCCATATGCTCAGCTATCAAAATTCAACCAAAAATTGAAAAACCAGCCGCCGTAGTAATAAAGTTCCAAAACACAAAACCTATCAAGGAGATACACACCGATGTTATAGCATCAGAATGAGATTTAACACTATTGCAAACTGGAATCCATAGAAAATTATCAAGTTTCACTAGAAACCCATCTTTGCCATTGGCATAGAAAATAACCTATCTTTCACTAGAAGCGGATGATGCCAACGAGGAAATCGCAGAGCCAGCTGAAGGCGTAGATCTCGACGGAGACCCCCGAGGTGTCGTTGGAGAGGAAATTGGGGGAGACTCGGAAGAGGAATTTGTCGTTCCAGGTAGGGTTGGCCCCGCCGACGCGGTCGACCTGGGTGCGGAGCTTCGCGGCGGAGTTGATCTAGACGACGGTGTAGATCTTCAATTGGCGGAGCTTGGCGGACGGCGACTTCAAGCCTTGGGCGGAGATCAAGTTGATCTCTAAGATTTTGGACTCCATGGGGGGCAAGATTCGGGCGAATTGACGGGGAGAAGAAAACCTAGGATGCGTGGCCTTCGAAGCCATAGTCGGCGATTGTGGCCTTGCTCGTTCCTTCCAGCCGCCACGCATCGCCGTTCTCTTTCCTCCCGTCGACGTTCTCATTCTTCAGGTTCGCGACTTCGCCTAGCGAGAGGCCACCAAAGTCAGCAGCGCCTTCATCGCCGCCGCCGGGGCCACGAGGAGGGTCGACCAGGCGAACCGGCTGCTGTTCGCGGCATTCCTGACGGTGGAGGAGAAGCTGCCGAGAGGGAAGAGATCTGGAGATGAAGAGATACCATCGCTGAGCTAGGGTTTTATTTTTGGATTTTAGTTTTTAATTTGTTACTTTTTATGATTTTACGTTTTTACCCCTAATTAATTATGTTGTGACTATAACAACAAATGAGTTGTTGTTATAGTATCCGCTCTCCAACGCCACTCAATAAAACAAAACTTTAAAAAAAAAAATAAAATAAAACAAAAAGAAGCTAATATAAAAATAGATGTCACGTATCACTTCTTTCCCATAACTTTTGGGCTAAGATGAGGTAACTCCCTTATACAATTTATTTATTTGAAAATTAAAATAAAAAATATATTGTTGGTCCGTATCCCTCCCCGCCGTTCGTTTACTGCGACTATTCCCCGCACCGCCGACTAGAGATTTTCCGGCGTTGCCCAGCTCCGATCCTCCTGCTGGGCTGGGAACTTTACCCTTCCACCATTTCATTTTCCCCCCATTTGGCCCCTTCCATTCCATTTTACCCCAGCTTGTACAATTTGTCTGTTTCTTTTGTAATGTTTGTAAGCTTTGTTATTTGGTAATGTTTGTCAGTTACTTTTGTAATGTTTGTAAGCTTTGTTATTTTTGCGCACCATATTTGTAATTTTTGTCAACCATGTTTGTAATGTTTTTTATGTCTAAAAAATAACATGGTTGAATTTTGGATGGAACTTCTCTATATAGAGATGAAACGGGACAAGTTACGGTGCTAACTCAATGAGGACTTAGATTAGGATGGGTCCAAGTCAAACCGACAGCCCTGTTCTGACAACAGTCCAGGAAACCGTACTGGACGTCATACCGAATTCATTTCTGGTAAAGTATTATGTGGTACGATCGTGGTTCAACTATTTAGTACCGGTAAATACTGTTTTTATAATAATAAAATATTTTTTTTGTCAATAAACCATATTGGCCAAAACCTGATACCGTGCCGTAGCAATACTAGAATAATATCGGAAAATACCGGACAGAAAGGTATAAAATATATCAACATAAAAATTATAAATATATAATGGAATTACTTAAGATTTCAGGAACTAAACATATAATATAATTTCAGGTACCATGCAATAATTTTCCAATACATCGAGAAGGCAGAAACTAAAAACCCTTTGGTTGCTCTATTAGTCTATTCACATTCCAATTTCTAGGACTTAGACTATCTCTCCATTCTCTCTCCATTCTACAAATTCAGATATGCTTTTCTCTTGTCAAAACTGAAACTTAGATCTGTTTCTCTCATTTAACAAAACTTCCTTATGAACAAAGAACTAGGAAGGCAGAGAGGGAGCGTAGATATCTTGGCGACATGGCGGAGATGGGAGGAACATTGGCGGTAGGCAGAGAAGGGACTACAGCTGATTCAAGATGGAAACCGCCGCCACCAACGGGGAAAATCGCCGAGCCCAGTCTCCCTCCCCTGCTCGACGAGGTCGTTGGAGACTTGTCGGCGTTCTCGAGCTCATCCTTCTCGTCGGTCTCCAGAGGCAGGGGTGAGCTGGAGAAGATGAAGGGTGATCAGGGGAGGGAGACTCGACGCAGTGGCGTTCTCAATCAATCGAGCTCGCCCTTTTTGTCGGACGCAGAGGCAGGTGTGAGCTGGAGAAGAGGAGCGACGGGGTGAAAATGGAGAAGAAAATCCTTCGATTAGGGATCAGGGGTTGGCTCTTAGAGTATGGACGCAGGGTTTTGTTTTTGCTTTGTTTTTTTTTTTTCATTTTTGTTTCATAGGACGACAACATTTCATCATAAATGGCCTACCGTCGGTCTGAAT